GAGTATAAGTGGATTTTGGCAAGGTTTATATTTTTAAATCAGGGTCCCTGATTTCCAGCTTCAGCCGTTTCCAGCATCAGCTGCGACAATCCTTTATATAGTGACGTCGAAGATCTGTGCTATCTTTCTACTCAGAACTTGCCAAGTAGGATTCTGTATGCCCCAGCTCTTGGATTTATACAAACGCTTTACTTGAGTTTTATATAACTCTTGTATTACACTATAGTTCTACATTCTTCCAGTACAAGCTAGTATGACCAAAGCAATTTTGTCGCCAGTAGAATTCGAACTCTTGTCCTGCCGCTTGGAGGTGCGATAATTTACCAACTTCACTAAGTCACCACACCCTATATTCTTAATTAATAGTTTTATCAAAATTCATATGTTATTAGAACTTGAAATTTCTATCTTCCGAGATCATTAGATCTAAACTTTCCTTAAGCGATCATCAAATCTAAAGGTCTAATTTCACCTAAAAATTAATAAAATACATTTAATATATGGAGTTTATAGCCGAGAAAAGTTGCTTTATGATGAAAAAAACTGGTGTTAGATTTGGGTAATATAATTACTAATCGTGTATTTTCTTTCTGACAAGTTTTTTAGATCTAGCAAATGGATGGTATAAAAATAAGTGATTTTTGTCTTGTAAGATAGACAAACAATAGCATTATTTTTTTTGCTTGTGTATTTTTTTTATTTGCAATTTACTTTCAAGGTCTGGTTATTGTATATTGCTCGCTACTGTAGATTTTTTATTTCATTACTTTCTATTAACTATGAGTTCTTATTTTTTGCAGTCTTTAAAATAGCAATTATTAACTTTAACTGCGTCATTAGTAAAAGAAACCCTAACAATGAAACTTTTACAATTAAGATTTCTAATGCCAAAAAATATGAATTGCTTAAACATATGATAAAAAAACGCCTGGTACCTTTATTTGATTCAATTCCTTCTAACCAAATCATACTTTGTTTATCCTCTGATAATGGTCCAATATTTAAACTAATGATTAAAATTTCTAAAAACTTTACTACTAGCCCTGATAAAAATTGTATTCATATTTACGTAGATCCCTAAGTAATTATTTTTTTAATTTTATTAAATAGTAAATTTTTTTATTTGCATCTGTAATAGCAATATATATTTTTTATTTATATATTATTGTTCTGACAACATTTTTATGAAATAAAGAGGGGTCCTATAGGCTTACCATTTTTTATTTTAACGTGAATTTTGCAATACAGTTTGCAATTATTATTTTATGAAAATAATAGAGTTTTCTTATTAACTTATACTTTACAGTTACTATTTGAATTAAATTTTGATATTTATTCTCCCAACATGTAAAACGATATGGTTTTGTATTGACATAATTGTCACTCTTCTACTCACCTTTATATCATCTCTTTTATGCTCTTTATTATATACGAGACAAGTTTTTAGATAATTAAAAAGTTACTGTACTCATTACTATATTTTAAAGATAAATAAAGAAACTGCTCTAGCACTTTGTTAATAATGGATTTTCACTTCTCCTTCAAGTAAAATAGAGATTAGAGATTGGAGTTTATTAGATATATTTTCTTTGGATATAGGTGGTGTACTTATTTTAATATTTGGCAATTTTTTTGAGTCAGTAGAAAATAGTATATTTATTTAAGCTTTCGGTAATTTTGAGAAAGCAAAGCTTTGAGTTATTGACTTATTATAATTATTTTCTTGAGATGGTTCAGTCACGTATGTGTGATAATTTGTCATACTTATCATATCTGTTGAAGACTTAGGAAAATCATTTATAAGGTTTTAAATTTGAATATCCTTTAGACTTAAAATAGCACTTGCACTGTAAGTTATTTGACTAATTTTATCAATTTCTACTCTTTCATAGAATATATGTTATTTTATACAAGTTTACATCAGTAATATCAGGAAAGAGTAATTTGATTTCATTATATATTATCATTCTTGCTGATTGATCATCAGTATTATTTACAGATTTAACATCACTAATTTGATTTTCATATGCCTTATAATAGCAATACCAGCACAAACTTTCCTTCTGTTGAACCTTCATTGCTACTCTAAATAGATCAACTATATTTTGTAATATAACCTTACTAGATTCTGTTAAAATCGATTTTAAAGAAAATTCAGAAATCTAAATATCAAATACTTTATTAATATGATGGTTATTATCTTTGGTACAAATAAATAGCTCAAGTCTTAAACCTTGTTCTACTTTTTGATTATAAGGAATTTTCTGATTTGATGAATCATAGCCCTGAAGCTTTGTTTCTTCTCCACTTACCTCTGTTGAATTCTTAGGATTCATTTCCAATATAACAGTTTTTACATTATATAATTAATTAGACTGTTCTGATGAATTATTATTTGAAGATAAACCTTGGGATCTAAGCTTCTTTTCTTGATTCCTTTCTCTTATTTCATTACTAATCCATTCTTTATATATGATCTTTTTATCTTCTGATGATTTAGATTCTGTATAAGTAGACAATATGAAGCATTGAATCTTCAACCCCCCTGATATACATCAGAACTTAAGGCAGCATCAGTTATATCAGATGCAGAAGTATCATTCTCTAATGATTTTATAACAAGGTCGAGTATATTAATATCATTTTCAGATGAATTATCGCCATTTTCTAATCTATCTACGTTATTGTTTTGTTTTTGCTTCAATTTTGCAATTCATTCTTCATTTTTTTTGCTAACCATTCTAGTTCCATGATTCTTGCATTGAGCCCAACATCTCTTAGCTTTGCTTTCTTAGCATTTTCTTCTATAATCTGTTTTAGCTCAGTCTCAAGTAGTGTTGTTAGACAAAAGTCAAAACTAGTTTCAACTTTTGCCAAAAAAAATTAAAATAGCAAAATGGCAAAACTGGCAAAACTGACAAAACTGCTAAAATTAAATATAAAAAAGAAAACTAGTAAAGAAACAAGAATAGAAAAGTAATAATCTTTTTATTAATATTACTATCTAGATAATCTACTTACAGATGCCAGATTTGGATTTTGGAATAGATATAATTACTACAATCCCAACAAATCATAATCCTGACAAAAAATCCTAATAATTAAAATCCCAACAATCAGAAATCATAGTCAGAATTTTCAAGTAGAAATTTCTGAATATGGGTATGTTTAAAGTGAAGTAGCCTTTTATAATTTAATTAACTTTAAGGTTAGATCACTTTAGATAAGAATTAGGCTAGAGTTAGATTATTTTCATCAGAATTTTTAATTGTCAGGATTTGTAACTATCAGTTTTTTTGCTACCATGATTTTTGCTGTTGAAATTTTTTTGTCAAGATTTTGCTTGTCTGAATTTTAACCCATAGCCCTTTTACCCAACCTAATATTTAATTTTAACCTAATACAAATTTATTTTGTCACATATATGTGCATAATCATGCTATATACAATGTTTTTTGATCAATAATCTAAATTTTACTACAGTATATTTGATCTATTACTATATAGCACTGCATATAGTACCCTCTGAAATAGTATCCCTTTTTTTTTTACAAACAATTTGTGGTCCAGTTTTCATAATTAATAGTGCGATCTTTCATTAGATTAATAGCAAAGTATATTGTAATCAGTAATGATTATTTGTATTATTCAATTTAAACAAGCTTTTTTGTAAATACAGTTAGAGCATATTCTAAATTAGAGATTATTTAAGATTGAAGATCTAGAATGATCTACAAAATTCAGTGAAATTTGATTGGCTTTGTCACATTTTTTTTATATTATTTTCTCTCAAAGATTTTACATGTTTTTATATTACTGTTGGGGTGTTATTTGTAAAATCACTATTTATTGGTGTGTTTTTTTTTGGTTTATTAAACTTTTTTCATTAGAACTAAAGCTTTTTTCTTTTTTGTACTGTAGGTTTCTTAGATGTAGCACAATAATTAGATTTTTTGAACATAGCATAGTAGAGTTAGATTTTTTTAGACGTAATACAGTAGAGTTAAATTTGGGACTTGTAGTACAGTAGAGTTAGCTTCAGGACAGATAGAGCATGGTAGAGTTAGATTTTTTAGACATAGAATAGTAGTTATATTTTTGTACATAGTATGGTAAAGTTAGATTTTTTGGACATAATACAGTAGAGTTAGATTTTTTGAATATAGCACTGTAGATTTAGATTTTTTGAATGTAGTATGATAGAATTAGATTTTTGGACATAGTATGATAGAGTTAGATTTTTGAACATAGTATGATAGAATTAGATTTTTTTGACATAACATGATAGAGTTGAATTCGGAACAGATAGACAGTAGAGTTAGATTTTTGAACGTAGCATAGTAGAGTTAGATTTTTTGGACATAGTATAGTAAAGTTGGATTTGGAACAGGTGTCATAGTAGAGTTAAATTTGGGACAGGTAGCACAGTAGAGTTAGATTCGAAACAAGTAGCATAATAGAGTTAGATTCAGGACAGATAGTATAATAATAGATTAGTAATATAGTAATTAGATTTTGAATTTATAGTATAATATTTAGATTAGTAGTATAGTAGTTAGATTTAAAATTTATAGCATGGTAATTTGGTTTGGGATTATTAATGCAGTAGTGAGATATAACAGTAATAAATAAAAAATTATAAAATATTTTTGTATTTTTTTTATTTTTTATTTTATTTTTTATGTATATTTTTTAATTTTTTTTATTTTTGACGATTTTTATATTACATAGCATACTGGTGTCAAATGCCAATATTGCGATTTTTTAATGTTCTTTTATTATTTATTTTTTCTTTTTTTTAAATTATTTTTTTATCATAATTCAGTCATAATTCAGTTAAAATTCGAATCTTTAGAATCATCTAACTGCCGATCATCTCTAAATAAGGTGCAAATCGTCGATGACCAAATTGAGAATATGCCCTGACTGAAATACCCGGGTACTGTATGTGTATAATATTTAATTAAAATTTTAACAAAATGTTAAAAAGAAAAATCTTAACACTATAAAAATAAATTTATTTAAATATTTAGATATGTTTATTTTACATGAATAATATTAATACATAGATAGTGCTACTAAAAGAA